CGGTCCGGCAACAAAACACTATTGCCACCCCCTTTATTAATGCTTTGGTAACATTAGGCCCTTATGAAGGCCCCTTTTGGGCGCAGGCTTTGAAGCGCATGACATCTCGCGCAGCTCCAGCCAGCTTGGGAACACCTACATGTGCTATGGCCTGACTATGATTTGCCAAGAGCATTTGATTGTTGTGTAAGGGCTCTTGCTTGAGGGAATTTATGCAATGTGTACATATTTTTTTATTGCTGCAAGTAGTCTCATAGGAGCAATCACACGGTGGATGGACATCTTGCACCAGCCACAACATTTTAATGGCCAGCGTATAGGGTATATGAAGTGGAGCGCGATTTGTTCCCTTCACGGGAGTGTATGTCGGAATTTGATAAGTGGGTGTGCTTGGGCCCATCTGTATTGCCTGTGCAGGTTTAAGTCTATCTGTGGGATCTGCGAGATAGTCGGTTGAGTCATGCGCTACGGGATCGTCAATCTTATTGCAGAGCTCCAAAAACCCAAGCTTGTAACGTTCAGACAGGCAGCGTGGACGAACCCAAAAACCCAAATCCATTAGAACCAAAGCTCTATAGTCCCCCTTAAGTAGATCAAATATGGGGTATATGGGGATCTTATTGTAATATACCCACAGGCACCTATTCTATCTACTTAACGGGGAATATAGACTCTAGACCTTAATCCTGAAGAGCAAGGTACAAGGCCGTGATCAGCGCCCACACGGGCAACACCTTTGCCACGGACACGCCCGTAATCGTTCCACAGTATCTTAGTAATTAACACTCCTCCCGGTGCACTTTGTATTCAAGGGTTTATTGAGCACTTTCATGTGCACTATGCAAATTGCATGGCTTATCTTGTGCTTTATCTTCCGAATTGTTTACATTGTAAACTTCAGAGCCAGCATTCCGAGTGTTATCACCCACAGAGTGATCTTAAGAATCATGTCCGTCCAACTCCTACGAATACTCCTCCTGCTGCGGCTATTGCTGCTGTTGCCTTGACTCCAGTTGCGCTCTCTGACTCTTCCTACTATCCCGGCTCTGTTGTGCTGCTATCATTAGCAGATGTTTGCAGCAGGATCTGCCCTCAAAGACCGATGGCTTCGAGCTGCTGCTCGGGGCTGCACAAAGTCAAGCAACAGTTCGAGGACCAAGGGGAGTCCCCATTAGCTGGCTAAAAAGACATCAAGCAGACCAGTAGCAATGCCGCAGCCGCTGCTGCAGCAGTTTCTAGCACAAGAATTTGAAAGGCCAGACTGTGAAGATACTAGTGTTCTTATGGCAATGACGGTGAGGAAACTGGTGGCTTCGTGTGAACAGTAGAAGGAAATCTGAAGCATCGGACATGGCTGACCTATGAACCATCGGAGACATGCATCCCTCCGTCTCATGCTGAAGGCTGAGAGACACGCCCCCAGCTGCCTGAGAAGCTTGCCATCTAGAAGAAGACCGACCAATTACCTATCCTATTCCCTTTTAATACGTATCTGCGTCAGATAATTTTCCCCAGTGGCCTATTCTAGGCTCCCACAATTCTCCCCCCCCCGCTTGCCTCCGCGGCTGGCTGCGTGCAGCTTCAAGGTATGACACTGACATGCAGACCGTCCTGTCGGAGGCTGGGCTATTTGCCAAGGAGACAGGTACAGAATGGGAGCTGCTGCAGAAGGCTGTTCCAGCTTACCTTCTTAACAAGGCGTGCCCCCTGCCTTCAGATTTCCGAAACAACTGTAACTGCATTTTGCTTGCAATTATGTTGTTGGACCCGCAAGTTCTCCCAACATCACACGCCTTGGCCATATCTCCCAACTGAGATGCAGGTAACGTGGCGCAACTTCGACCGCAACGGAGATGTAGCCATCATGGCAACTTGGAACCCAAACCTTGAGATCCCCTTCATGAAGGTTCTGCCCATGAGAAGTCCAAGCAAGTTGTGGAGAAAGTGAGTGGTGCATGCCCGGCCAGCCCCAAACAAAATCAGGCGCGCAGTTTATCTCAGGCATCCAGCTGTTACGAGTTTAATTGTTTTGACTTGAAAGCTGTGCTGGCTGAAATGTTCGCATGTACTTTTTTGTTGCGCCTTGATTCTGAGGTTGCTGTTTACATGCTGCAGCCCTGTTAGGGGCTGAAGGGGTTGTTGAGGATCAGCTGGGCTAAGGACATGACCCACAGCAACATCTTCAAGCCTCAAGGACGCCGGTGCCAGTGTCAGTACCACTGCCAGATTGCAACAAAGAATGCTCTTCCCTTCCTCCTTCTTTCCACCACCAGCAGAACCACTGCCGCCACGAGGACCACCACCGCAGCCATTTGTCGTACTTCTCAGCCTAAACCTCCTCCCCAAACTGTCACATGGATAAAGTCCTACAGCACAACTCCGACTGCACTACTTCTACTACAACTTGGGCCGGGTTTGTACAGCTTCCTCTTCCTGCATCAGACCTCGCCCGATGATTTTCAAATTCGACGAAAGGGGCTCAGCGAATCTGGCACATCATGACTGCGCGCAGGATCCTAGGAATCCGCTTCGAATGCACCCCCCTAAAAACAGCCCTTCATAAGCTGCTAGACGGCCCTGTCATGCCGTACGTTTACTCGTTTCTGTGCCCGAAACACCAACTGGTGCCCTTGTTTGGGTTTGTCTTTTGGGGGTGCACTTTGGCTGAGCCGCGAGGAATGTTCCACGCGAAGGGCATGTACTTTGAGGGTACGCCAATGGCACAACGCTTGCGCCACCGCCTCAGGACTTTCGGGGGATGAGTCCCTGACCGAAACATGTGGGACCCTGTTTTTAGAATGTCCTTGAATTGAAGGTCACTTGGTAAGTGAATGTATGAGTCAGTGGTCCAACGACATCTGGATTTAGACCGGCCGAGCTGCATAGCTCCTTCCTTTCTATTTAGGGTTTAGGATGCGAAATGCCCAATGGCTTCGTAGGTTTTCAAGCCTCTTCACAGGCATAGTTCAGCCTAAGAAAGACCAGTACGAGCTCCTTTTCATAGGGCTGTGGTATGTGCGGTGCATGTTTTGAGGTTCCGCTTATTTTTGGAGGGAGAACAAGGGTTTTGTTTGGGCTTTTCTGGACAAGCCTTGAGAGGTTTGGGGTGATATGAGAAAGGCTGAGCAGGCTGAAACATGCTCATGAGGGGTTGGTTGAATGCTG